TATCAGTAGCTGATAATTGACTTAATTTTTGAGATAAATGTTCTTCTTCTTCTACTACTTCAGCAGTCAGATCAACTAAAATGTTCTTTTCATCATTTAATTTTTCAATTTCAAATACATCTGTATTGTCATCATCATTATCATTGTCTTTACCAATATTCATAGAAAGATTATCAAAATCAACATTTGAATCTTCTTCTTCATCCATATCATCGCCATATTGATGGAAAATATCATCGAATCGATCAATATCTCTTTCAATCTACCATAGATCATTGTTAATATTTAGTCAATATTGTTAGTTTTTGTGAATTAAACTTACGTTTCGATGTGGATCAGCCATTAGTGTTGCATTCAAGAATACTTTCAATCGACAGTAATATATCTAAAATTGTGAGGAGAATCAAAATAAAAACTGTTATAAATGGTTATGCTTTCATATTGTATCATAATAAACAAAAAAGAACAAATATTGGATACAATAAAATAAAACCTAAGGATGATAACCTGATTTGAAGGATTTTGTTCATTTATTATATTAGATCATCATTCTAAGGGTAGGGTGGATCTGTAAAAGTTACCACAATACCTGGTAGTTCGCTTCTGTTGTATTTGTGGGAGCGTATGTTATTATTAGGAGACAGGGTGTTGGTATGTAATAGCTACCACAAATATCCGATATTTTCGATTATGCTGAAATAATCTTATCAAGTGGCAAGTTGGGATACTCATATAAGAGATCCAAAATTTTCAAGAAAACTTTTTGAACCAATATAAAGTATCATCTTCTAATATAGTAGATCGAAAATTTAATAAAATTTTTGAAGCAATACATAATACCATTTTATACTCGTAGAACGAGTAAAATCATCGTTTGATGGGTGTTTATGGCTACCACAATACTATAGTGTTTCGATGTTGCTGAGAAACTAAATCTTATCAAGTGGGATAAGATAGTAGTAAAGTAGATCCAAAATTGAATACAATTTTGAGATAAAAAGAAATTATTATGTTCTCTTTCGAAAGACCTAGAAGCGGGTTGTTGAAGTGTTTTTTGAGGTTACCCATTGGCATTGGCGTATGGATTTTGATATCTTATGTGAGGTGAAAGTTTCATGGAAGTAGTTTTTTCAAGGAATTGACTCCTATGTGTGTGTTTGTGTGTGTGTGTTATTTTAGTGGGTACGTTTTGAGTATATGAAGAAGAGGTTTGATCAGTGTTCTGGTTTTTTTTGTATCTGTAGGATGGACGTGCGTGACGTGAATGTAGAAAATTGCCTTTCATTTGTGGTCGTGTTTCATATGAGTCGTTATGTATCATATGGATAGTGTGTTTTTGATAAGGTCGATATTGTGACATGTATAATATGGTTTGTATATGACTTTGAAGTATTGATTGTTCGAAATCATATGGTATGTGTTCAGGTGGATTGGTGATATGTTTTGACATAGTTGGATATCGAATCTTTGTTTTTCTCCGGTTGGGATTGTCGGATGTTGACTGAGGTTTGTACATATGTAAATTGGCAGTGAAAGAAACGGATTTCGGTCGGTGCGTCAATCATATTGGCAAGGTTCAAATTGTGGTCAGGTTTTTGTGTTACTATGTTTCATGGTTTCTGCGTTTGGTGGATGGAGTCGGTCGAGATAACTGTGCTTAATATGTTTGTTTTGGCGATATTGACGTGTTTAATTGTTCGGGTCTGTGTAGAGGGCCGTTGTCATTAGTATTTGGTCCGTTGAATATTTTCTTCGTGGATTATATATCGATGGATGTGTATTGAATGAGATTTTAACTGGTTACCATTATATATAGTCTATTGGATGTGATTACATTAGAGTAGAAGAGCTTCATGTTGAATTGAAAGTAATGTAACCTACAGGAGGATCTAGTGATGGTAGACAATGGGATGTTTCATTGTTTATGTCTAATCTTGATATATCGCTTCAAGATACTGAGTCGTTTTCTTTTAACTTTGCTACCAGACGTTGATAATTAGAGTTTGTGATTGTCTTCTTTTTGTGTTTGCTACTTCCACAATGGCAGGTAAATCAGTTTGGATTTCTAAGATACAACCTTCTGTATTTTGTTTGACGTATCACGTTTAGGATCCAATAGAGTTGTTTAATATTATTTGTTACTGTTTATATGGAAAATAACTGTTGTTTTAATCTGAAATTGAAAAAAATGATCTTTTACTATATTAGAAATCTCAATGCTAACAGTAACGATAAGTTTATTGAATAAGGCTACAATAAAAGAGTAGAAAAAGAAAAGAAAAGAAAAAGAGATGATATTAGTTTTCAGCTTCAAGTATATTGTCAGAATGGAGTATTTGTTGTTAATGATGATCTGAAAAAAGAGAGAAGATGATGGTGAAAGATCTCGTATCACTGGTAAGTAATACTTACACTGTTTATGTTTTTGTTCATCAGATAGTGTCAAATAAGATATTGCTGGTTGTCTCTTGACGAAAACATCATTGATAGGCAAAGAAGAACAGTGGTAATGTAAGATCTTGATCCAGAAATCTTTTATTCGTGGATGATCTCCAAAATGTTCTTTCAAGAGATTGTTT